TGAATGCTCTTATTTGGAATTCGATTTTGGAGTCACCATGAAGATTTTGGAAGTTACTCACTTGGGGTCGATTGACGAACAGATGGTTTTAAAAGAGAATGAGTTTGACTGTCGAAGGCTTTGGATGCCTAAATGATACTTGATGTCTTTTGCAAAGGTGATTTGGAAAAAGCGAAGGGTCCCTGTGCTTGGAATTGAACTCGATTTGGTTTTTGGGTGTGTGATGAAGTGTTAAACTAACGAAGGTTTTGGTGCTGGTAAATTTCAAAAGTTTGGTATGAGAATCGGGAATCAATTAACGAAGACTTGATTGTTAAGTAACGAAGGGTTGATTGATTCGTTATTGATAGATTGTGGAATTAAAAGCAAAGGGTTGATTTGTTGGTGCTTCGTTATTAAGCGTGAAAATGTAAAAGGGACGCATGTGAATTGAAGAACGAAGGGTTGGAAATCGATTTTGACTTTTATTAGTCAATCTCATCCTTCGTCCCTGTATAACAAATTGGGGAAGAAACACAAATGTTTCGCAATTTGTCCCTGAAGTTTCAGACATATGGCATAAATGGTCCAGGTTCGAATTTGCAGCAATAATTGACGAAGAAAACACAAATGTTTTGAAACTTACCCCTGAAATTTCGAAGAAGTGGCAGAAATAGTCCAATTTCGAACATTGAGCAAAAATTGTGAAGAATGCAGAAGTTTCATGTTCAGTCCTTTCATTTTGTGCGAATTTACATTTTCTACCCAGTTTCGCAAATGGGGGAGAATTTCGCATATTTGGCTGTTTTTGGTGCAATGGGTCCCTGCAAGTTTCAGAAAGTGACAATTTCTACCCGGTTTTTGAAAAATCTTGCAACTTTCACCCAAAAAGTCAAAAAATTTCATAAATTGGAAATTTTTTTGAGGCATTTTCGTGATTGTTTTTCCGTGCAAGATTTTTGATGATTCATTTTTGGTACACATCAAGGGGGAGTATTGTGAAGTTTATTCCTCGGGTGCTTCTCACCCTTAATGGGTTTTATAATCATTTTTTTTATAAAAAGGGGGAGAATGATGGGTATTCGAAGCGGGTTTGTCGGATATTCATTTGCAGATTTGAAGACCGGTGTTACTTCGAGGGGGAGTTTGGTCTTGATCGCGCTAGCTCATTGGAGACTGAAGTCGGGACATCCAATCCTAAATTTGAGGGGGAGAATGTTAGGGTGCAAAGTCACTCTTGGATGTAGTGTTTTAGGCTTACCCTCTTATATGTGTAAATGGGTTGAGTCTTTCCTATAAATAGGAAGTGAGTGACTCCCATTATGTAAGGAACCATTTGGAGTGTTAGACTAGAGAGAGAAATTGTGTACAAACCCATTTGATTATCCTTTCTAGATCTAATATGAGCTTACACAGATTTATTTACTCCTTGTGTTCTTGATTTTACTTGATGGTTCACTAGATCTTTCTAATTCCGCACAAGCCATCATAATCAACACCACTACACTTTATACTATTTCTCTACTCTTTCTACTCCTTCTATACTCTCTATCTCCATATCTCCATATCTCTATATCTTTCTACATCTCTATCTCTTCCCATTCTCTCTAAATCTCCATATTTCTCATCATCTCTTAGTCTCTAAGTCTCCTCATTTTCTCTATCTCTATCTATGTGCATCTCTGTATCTTTATCTCTATCTACATTATCTATTCCATTTAGGGACACCCGCCCTAACTATTTCCCACCTACTAGGACACACCATCTTTATCACATTTTTCTATCATGACAACCATGATATTATTATCTTTACACTCATAACATCTCTTCACTTAGAGAACCATTTCTTATGTCATTCTAGAAAATGACCATTCATTCTTTCTTTTTGACATTCTTGACCTAAACCCTTGTAGTTGGTACATCTGATGATTCAATTTCTTTAGTTATTTATCTTCACATAAATATAACTACGTACATAAAATCTCATAACATGGTTTATTAAGAAAACTAGTTCATACTCTATCTATTAGTCGTGTACAATAACACCGACTATAAACATATAAGACATAAGTGATTATGACTAATAATGGTCCTAAGCACTCTGATTCTTTTCATCACCCATAGTTAAAGTCTAGGTGTGGACACACCAAACCTAATTCTCTTAAACTATGGCTTTGATAACAACTGTAAAGACCCAAGTTTTCTTAATATAATATTTTGGGGATTTATCAGAGTTTTTGTATAAAAATGCGGAATTCTAAACGTCAAAAACATTTTTTTACATCCCAGAATATCATTCGGTTTACAATATATCATGACCACAATTTAAAGGGCCAAGGAAATACAAAAAAATTTACTTCTAGTCTAAGTCCTTTATGCTCCTATCTCATAGGTCTGGTGAGTTATATCATTCTCTGGTTTCATGTTATCATACTCTACTCTACTCATTCTTTCTTTTAATACTCTAACATTATATTCTCTTTTTCTCATACTATAGTGTTTTGTTATCCTCTTTCCATACTATTCTACTCTATTCTTATCTAATCTAATCTTATCTACTCTTTACTCATCACTTCTCATACTTCTTACTCTATCTCATCTCATGCCTTCTCATATCTTCATCGTACTCATCTTCTATTCTATATTCACCTCTTATCATCTCATCTCTTTATTCTTCTCATACTTTTCTCTCTGTTACTATATCATCTGCTAATCTCTTCTCATCCTATATTCTCATATTTTCTCTTTACCATTCTCATATTCTTTTTAATTTCATCCATTTTCCCCTCTCACTCTCCTTTCTCATTTCATCTATTTACCTTTCTTATCTATAGCGGAGCTAGAAAAAAGTTTAGGGGTAGCACATTTTCTTTTGCAACGTAATACCTAAAGATGAATCTCTTAAACTCAAAGGTAAAACCATAAAAACTCCGGTTTGGATGTTGTTTTGCTAAATTATAGTGTGAATGAATAATGATACTTTTGTGGCTAAAATGTTGCCGATATAATTATTGTTTATTTTTCAGACCAAATACACTAAAAAAATCTAAAAAATTTACTATTTTACCTTTATGAAATAATAAATGCATATTTATTTAATAGTCGTTAAACTCAAATTATATATTATCACCTTAATTTATTAAAATATAATTGATAATACTAATGCAAGCTCAAGTTATTTATTTTCTTCTTATTGTTCTATTAAATATGGTTTAGATATTAAATAAAGATATCAACTTATTAAAAAAAAAAATACATTGATTACATATTAAACTATAAGTGATGTACCATCGTGTCCGTCTTCCATCTTTCACTTCTTGGATAATTTTGCCCGAGCAGATAGATTGACATGAAGGATACAAAAAAACTGTAAGCTAGTCGGACGGGATGGGATCACAGATGATGCTCTAATGGTTAAGTTAGCAAAAGGCTATATGATCGATCGATTATAGGAGTGAAGAGTTATGTACCTCCTTGTCGAGTCGGATTACCTATTTAGAGGGAAGGGGGAAGAGGTAACAAGTTCTTCCAATATCGACCCTGTCATGCCATCTTATCGTATTTATGGCATTGCGCCCGAAGGTACGACTAGTTGTACTTTGTATACCATTACACAGCTTTCATATGGCTGTGTCAGGGTCCGTCATCCACATATCCTCGTATACGTTGTATTCTCATGGTTTCGATATACTATTGCTACTGTTTCGACATAAATTTCTACTTGCTATTTGGTCTTTCTTTACCTTTTGAGTCTTCGTGCCAGTTTGATATATAAGTGGGCAACTTCGAGGCATATGGGGCGGGTAACTTCGAGCGACCTTGCAACATGCTGGTTCGGTATATTTGGGAAGGATATAAGTATTTCCAGAGTATATCCTATTAAGTCCCCCTAGTTTGTCTCTCAATGTAATCGGTGGAGTAGGGATGCTAACTTTGGAAAGAACGACATTATAGTCGTTGTAATTGGATAAGGGCGAAAAACTCCTGAATTAACTCTGATGTGACGTGCTGACAGTTATGCTAGTCCTCATGAAGATCTATATAACCGTGTTTTCGTCTGCTATTTCTTTAATAGGGGTACAATACCCACAAACCACATTGTCTATCCATTAATCTTCATATGTTCTAGACTTATTATAAATATTTGGTATTGAATCATCTGTTTCACCCTTTGCCATTTCAGTTATACTCATTATCCTTCTTCTTTCGTCTCATTTTTTCTTTTCTGAGTATGGCGAGCACTGGGATTTCTCACATTGGGACAGTAAAATCCAAGTTAACTGTTCTGACCATGGGTATGCTCGTTCAGAAGTATGATATTGATCCTAAGTTCCATCCTCATCTGCCGGCGGCCAACGATGCCATTACCGACACCCCTGAAGGCTTTGTGGGGGTTTACCGAGTGTTCTTAAAATCTGGGTCGCGTCTTCCTCCTTTCGTTTTTAGAAACTATTTTGGATTATTATGGTCTGAACATTGCCCAAATAACCCCTAACGGCTTTTGCAAGATCCTTTGCTTCACCCTGTTATGCATCGCTCTGGATGTGTCGCCGACCATCAACCTGTTTTGCCATTTCTATATTTTGATGTCCAACGAGGATTGGGTTTCTTTCTCTATTCTCCATGGTTTGGTGGAACTTTGTGACGGTCTTCCAACCTTCATAAATTATTGGAAGGAGGAATTCTTTTTAGTTCATGCCTCTGCTTTCTCAGGACCCATGGCGTACGACACTACCACTGACAGGGACGCTGACCCCATCCTGGAGCTATCGTCCGATGAGAAACTGATAACGTAAAGGTTATTGGACAATGTTTTTCAATGGGCGGACCCCGATGAAGCGATGTTGGGTATGCCTGGCATGAGTCTCCATTGGAACCATCTGGATAAGAAGACAGTAGAGGTGTTCGAGGGAAAATATGTAACCCTTCTTGACAGATTTCACCGGAGACGGATTGCGAACTCCGCCCTTGTGACGGATGAGGTAATAACACCGGATTCCCCGACCAGGTAAGAGTCTAGCATGGACTCTGCCCTAGACGTTTCTCGAGTAGAGGGTTGTAGACCTATTCCTCCTAACCTTCGCTTGAAGGGTGTGAAATTGGATTCCAATTTTGGCAAGCCTCCCACGGTGTTTACGAGGATTACATCGAAAGTGTTCATCCTGAAGAAGTGCTCGATGAGTTCTCAAGACGATCAACTGATCAGTATGTCCCCTCTCAAGCGAAATCGTTCTGATTGTGAATTAAAAAGTTGTAGCCTGAATGAACTATCCGATCCTCCGACTCCCAATTCTATAAGTTCTGTGCGTACCTCGTAAGCTCCTGTTACTATTGTTTTTCACGAATGTCCAACTGAGTCGGACATCAAGATGAAGCATGTGGAAGATGAGGTAGAGGTGCCTCATTCGGGCAAAATGGAATCGGAGAACGCTACTGGAGGTCTACTGGAGAAGGTCCCTGAGGATCCCCCTTTAGAGAAAGAAAACCCCAAAGTTTTCTCTGCTGCGACTGTATTTCAACAAGCGAAATAGCTCCCCTTCTAGGTTCCCGTAAGTGAACGTTGCTATGATCATAGGCTCATCCCGAGTTGGCATTTTCCTACTGATCTCATTAAACCTCTTAAAGTATGCTTTATTCGATTCTCCTTCATGTTGTCGACAAGCGAATATCACGTGCGCTTGTTGTTGGAACCTTCGTTGTTGTATTGAACTGTTACAAAATTTTTAACACAGCTCTTCGAAGCTCCCAATACTTCGGGGTGGTAACCTAGCCAGCCAATATCGACCAGATCCTTCTAAAGTTCCCGCGAAATACAGACACCATAACTTTCGATCAATTGGTATCATTTTTATCGCCCACTGGAAATTAGATACATGATTATCTGGATATCCGGTACCATCGTAGGGTGGCACCCTCGACCCTTTCAACCCTTTAGGAATAGGCATTCCATTAATGTCATCCATAAAAGGAGAGCGGAAATTTAGGTTCTTGAAAGCTTGATTGTATTAATTTTCTTCTGTTACTTGAGGTAACTTTTCTTGTCTTTTATGAGCGCCTTCTTCATTTGATAGTCGACCTGGATTTCTCTCCTTCTTCCTTGATCTTTTTTCATGAGGACTTGACTCCTTTACTTCTTCGTTAGAGTGTTCCAGTTGGTCTGTGTGGACCGAAACTCGATCCCATTCTTTCTCTTTCTGGAGTTGTCTTTCGCTTTGCAATTTCCTCATAGCGCTAAAGCTTTTGAATGCTTCAAATTCTTCCAACTCCATTTCTTCTGCCTTTTTGCCTTCTTGATCCATTCCCTCGTCGCTAATAAGCTTTCCAGAGACTACGTTCTGATGTCTCACCATAGTAGCTGTTGGGTTTTAAGCACTATAACACTCATATGGTGCACATGCAGCCCTAAATTCTTTGGAACTATGTTTTCTATAATTATACATGCATTTTTTCAAATTTCCAAAGCATATAACTTAACTAGCATACAATTCAAAGTAACAACTAGTTAGATATCTTACCTCTTATGTAGTTCTTGACCATGGAAGCTTGAGCAACTCAAATGTTGTGCCTCTAATGTGTCACAAACACCAATATGCCAAGGAGGCTTAAGAGAATAAGAATTGTAGCTTCAAAATCGGTTCTATGCCTTTGTGAATATGTGTTAGCCAATTTCACCACTAAGGGAACTCTTTTATAGTGTTTCTTAAGGCTAGGGTTTCATCCATGAAACTCTAATGCACCATGACCTTCCATATCCCTTAGGCTCCATGGGTTAAAGCTCCATGGACTATCCATGAACCATTTAGCCCACCCTAACGGATGTTTGGCCCACACTATAAGAATGGATGATTTACATAATCAACCCCCTAGATTTAATTAGTCACTTTTGATCACAAAATTAATTCCAAATTAACTCTTGACCAACACTAATTAAATAATATGATTTCTCAATTCATATATGATACTTATAATATATTAATAAATCACCAATAATCTTATTCTCAAAAGTCCATCCTATCAAATTGCACTGGTGAAGGCAACCCCAAAAGGATCATGCTACAATCGGGTCAAGTACATACCAGATATAGTTATGGGCTTAGAAACCAAATCCAACAGTAGCAACATGTGGCGTTGCTTCTGGGCCTTCAAGGTTTTTCATTCTCGCGACGAGACTCGCTGCAACTGTTGGTGTGCTTATGTTGGCTATTTGTTGCGAGGTCCCATGGATGGTGCCACTTGATGTACCATCATGTCCGTCTTCTATCTTTCACTTCATGGATAATTTTACCCGAGCAGATAGATTGACCTAAAGGATACAAACAAACCGTAAGCTAGTCAGCCGAGATGGGTTCCCAGACGATGCTCTGCTGGTTAAGTTAGCGAAAGGCTATATGATCGATCGATTATAGGAGTGAAGAGTTAAATTGAGTTCTGTGTTTGTACCTCCTTGATGCTTCGGATAACCAATTTATAGGGAAGGAGGAAAAGGTAACGAGTTCTTCCCGTATCGACCCTATCATGCCATCTTATCACATTTATGGCATTACACCCAAAGGTACGACTAGTTGTTCTTTGTATACCATTACACAACTGTTATAAGTTACCCGCCCCATATGCCTCGCAGTTGCCCACTTATATATCAAACTGGCACGAAGACTCAAAAGGTAAAGAAAGACCAACGATCAAGTAGAAAATGATGTCGAAATAGTAGCAATAGTACATCGAAACCATGAGAATACAGCCTGTACGAGGATGTGTGGCTGACATACCTTGCCACAACCATTTGACAGTTGTGTAACGGTATACAAAGTACAACTAGTCGTACCTTCGGGCGCAATGCCATAAATGCTCCCCTTATAGGTATTTCCGGACAATATCTTATTAATAAGAAACTAACATAAATTAAAAAGGGTTGAGGGGTGGAAAAAATTGATAAAAGCAAAAACAATTAATAGGGATAATGATTTGAAGATTATAATTTAATAACCACTAAATTACCATCTTGACGATTAAAGATAAAGGGTCGTGTGTGTGATTAAATGAGAGAGATCTATTTTATTGTTTGTATATTAGTTTATAATATTCATTTACCATTGGTGATTAAACTTAATTGATAATTAAAGTCATTACCATTAAAGGACATGACGAGATAAATTGGTTATAATTCATTCTATTGAGGTTATTTTCAACACTTCCTTAGCTTTTTACTTTTAAATATGCATTTTCACACAATTTTCAAGTGCATTTGGCCCACAATTATTACAAAAAATATAAATACATATTAAGTAAAAATCGTATATTAAAGAGAATACTATATTGTTTGGTTGAAAGCGTTCGTTTACTATTCAAAATTATAGCCCAACTTTTGACTTATGACCGAATGGATTTACAATAATTAAAATAATCATAAATCACAACTAAATACCAAAAATGTATATAGGGTGAGTAAACCAAGAATAAGCCACAAAACCCAAAAAGACAAAAGATATGAAAGGTTTTAGAACTTTATTTGCATTCTTTTCGAAAGTTGTATATTTGAGGGGTAGTAGTGCTAACCCCAGGCTACCATGTAAGTCCTTTTTTGTTTCTCGTACTCTTATCACATGCTACCTATCTGTTCTCATCTTCTCATTCTTTCCTATTCTATTCTCATTTAGATCCAAACGGTCTAATCACATAACCTACTACATCTGTCATATAGGGGAACACATAACTCTATCTTACCAGAGTACAATTATCCAGCTTAGTCCCCATAGTCTTACGTAACACTTGCCACATAACATTCTATCTCATCACTTCTTTAAGAAGTCTTCTACTATCAATATAGTACTTAATTCATTAAGTACTTAATCTAATTCTTCAATTACTAAAATATAGGTATGTAATACAATAACCTTAGCATCTAGTCATTCATCCATACTCTATCTTCATCTAATATGTTGTGGGTATTTCACACAATACTACTAATATCTAACCATGCATACATACTCATTCGTGAGATTATATTTCATATAATCAAATTCTATCATCATCTAATATCTTTTAGGTATTTAGGATAATACCATTTATAATTAATCAGATAATTCATATTTTATCTTCATCTAATATCATGTAGATATTTAATACAATACCATTAAGGGGTTTTGATACATAAAAGGGTGAGTGTTCCACAAAAACTGGCAACGGAAGATTTAAAATTTTCTAGCATATTTCAAGTATCTAAGAAAACCAAAACCATCAAGGGCCCATTTAAAGAAGACAAAATGATATAAAACAACCATACTCGGTTTAAGTATAACAACCTTTGTAGCCTTTAGACCCTCTTGGATTTGGGGTGTTGGTGTAGATAGGAAGAACAAGTAGCTTGAACTAATCTATAAGTAATCCACCACCAAGAGTAAGGTACCCAAAATGCTAGTTTTCTTTTTATATTGCTTTGTTCTTCAAGCGTTAAGTGCTTAAACAATTAAGCACTAAAAGGAAGACACAAAGTAAGCACTAAAAGGCAACCAACAACTTCAAAAGGAAGAGAACTCCAACCTCTAAGCTACTTACGGTTTTAGTGAGAAAAAAATAAGAAAAGAAGAAGCCAAAATTCATGCAATCACTCTCCTTTTATATCTCATGAAAAGCAAAGCCTATTTATTATAATACTCTAAAGTATTATAAAGCAAAAAAAATAAAAGGGACAAGCTATGGATGCAAGACATGGGAAGATACACAAGTAACCTCCCATGCGTTGACCATTTTCGCCATAGAGAGGGAAGAAGACAAAATTGTCTTCTACCCATTTTACCCAAGGTAGAGTAAGTCTTTAACTTAAGCATGGTTAACCAAAGTGTCCAAAACTTTGTACATGACTTATTTTATGATACCATATCATATAATGAGTAGTTTTCTACTTCATATAATTTTGTTTTAATAAAACAATAATTTTTTCTCTAATTAAATACAAGAGTTGAATATATTTATTAATAACCAAATACTTAATAAATATTCAATAAGTACCAACTTGATTAAGGTATGACCTTATAGGATCATGTGTCATTAGCAATTTCACTTAATAATGATTATTGAGCATATAGATCCAACAATCTCCCACTTGCATAAAAGTCATTAAAGACTAGCATAGACAGTAGCTGGCATCTAGTAACAGGCTACTGTCCCTAACAACACACAAAGGGTTCCATCAATCAACATTATCCAAGGATTAAGTAACATGCTAACATAGAACACAATAATATTAACACAAAATATATATCTCATATATAAAAAGAGAGTACATATCACTGCTACATAGTTCCAAATATCTAGATATTGGTAAAGTACATATTTAAATCTAATCTTTTGCTAATAGAAGGCCAATTCCTTTTGCATGAATCTCAAACTTGTTTTGAGGAAGAGCCTTCGTGAATGGATCTGTTAGATTATCATCTGTATAAACCATCTCAATGTGTACATTCCCCAATTCCAGTTCTTGACGAATGAAATTGAATTTCCATTGAATGTGTTTAGTCTTGTTGGTAACCATCATGTCTCTTGCGATAACAATAACACCCATTTTTGTCACAAAGAATCGCAATGGAATTTTTGATGCTTGGAACAACATCCAGATCACCGATGAATTTTTTTCATCCAATCAACTTCTTGAGCTTCCTCACACGCAGCTATATACTATGATTATGTTGTAAAAAGTGCTACTACTTATTTCTTTGAACTTTTCCAGGCAATGGATCGTCCATTAAGTGTGAACACGTATCCCGACTGTGATGACGAGTTATATCGATCAGTGTTGAAAGCAACATCAATGTAACATCTTACATTAAGCTCTTCTTGAACTCCTCCATAAACCAGAAACATATCTTTAGTCCTTCCAGGCAATGGATCGTCCATTAAGTGTGAACAAGTATGTTCTTAACAACCATTCAATGTTTTTCACTAGGATTAGCTTGATACCTACTAGTTAGACTAATATGATAAGCTACATTTGAACATGTACAAGTCATAATATACATAATTGAACCTACTGTTGAAGCATAGGATATGAGACTTATTATTTTGATCTCATCTTCAGTACAAGGGTTGTCAGCCTTAGAACGAACGGTGTCAGGCAGTATGGGTACAATTCCTCGTTTTGAGTTATCCATTGAAAGGCATTTTAAGACTTTTTCAATGTATGTTCTCTGACTCAAACCAATGATTCTTTGGGATCTATCTATATAGATCCTAATACCGAGTATGTATGCAGCATCCCCTAGATCTTTCATTTGAAAGGACTTACTAAGGTAGGCCTTAATATCCTTCAATGATGGGATATCTTTCCTGATCAATAATATGTCATCAACATATAGAA